CTAGAAATAATTCATATAAAATGCACCTTTGTTTTCATTTAAAAAATCATCGCTCCACATTCTAATCCAAGTTAAGTGGTTTCTCTAATTGTTTTTCCAAACACCCTGAGTTGTTATTTTGAAAAGCACAATAACAAAATAAATGAAACCAGAAAATGTTAAGCTTAATAAAAGATAAATTTATGATACTTTTGAGTTCCTTTTTTTTTTTGTGAGGAAGATTAGCCCTGGGCTAATATCTGTGCCCATCTTCCTCTACTTTATATGGGACGCCGCCACAGCATGGCTTGACACGCAGTGCGTTGGTCCGTGCCCAGGGTTCCAAACCTGCAAACCCTGGGCCGCCGAAGCGGAGCATGCGAACCTAACCGCTACGCCACTGGGCTGGCCCCACTTTTGAGTTCCATTTTAATTTACATACAAATTGCTTTGAAGATGCTTTATTCTTTCTCTTCCATAAACGCAGCCAACACTGAAACAAAAATCTTTTGCAGTTATAAACCCAGCTCTTTTACTCAATATCACTTTTCATTTTATCTTATGTATTTTCTATTCCTATGTACAAAAACCACAGACATCATGAGAAATACTGAATTTATCAGAAACTGATCTGGAAGCTCATATATCTGTTTCATAATTTTATTATATTTTTTCTATTAGAAGACTTCAAATAGTCTAGATAGTAAGTAAAAATTAAATGTTAAAATGTAACAATAGGGCTAACAAAAAATAAGGGTAACTTGACCTGTAGTATTAGGTGAGAACATGAAAAATAGAGAGAGAGAAGTAGAACTTTTAAGGAAGAGAAATTTTAAAGATTTTATTTATTTTATTTTTTCCCCCCAAAGCCCCAGTAGATAGTTGTATGTCATAGCTGCACATCCTTCTAGTTGCTGTATGTGGGACTCGGCCTCAGGATGGACGGAGAAGTGGTGCCTCGATGTGCACCCGGGATCCGAACCCGGGCCACCAGCATTGCAGCGCGCGCACTTAACCACCAAGCCACAGGGCCGGCCCAGGAAGAGAAATTTTAAAGCAGAATTGGCAAAGAAGATTAAAACTAGTTTTAAGAAAATGGAAAAAAGAAAGAAGCAAATTTATTTGATATGAAGAAAACGAGTATTGCTTATTCAAAGCTTTAAAAACCAACAAGTCTCGGGGCCGGCCCAGTGGTATAGTGGTTAAGTTTGCCCGCTCTGCTTCGACAGCCTGGGGTTATTGGGCCTGGATCCTGGGCATGGACCTATGCACTGCTCATCAAGCCATGCTGTGGTGGCGTCCCATATACAAAGTGGAGGAAGATGGGCACAGATATTAGCTCAGCGCCAATCTTCCTCAGCAATAAAGAGGAAGATTGGCAACGGATGTTAGCTCAGGGCCAATCTTCCTCGCCAAAAAAAAAAAAAAATCAAGTGAATAGTGATGAAGTGTCAAGTGAATAGTGATACATCATTGATATACTTATTAAAATACTTAAGAGTATTGTAAAGCTATGTTTACTAAGTAGCATTGCTCCTGCTTGGTCTATAACACCCAATTTATAAATAGACACAAACTATTCATTTAAAGACCGTGATTGCAGTTTTTAGAAACAAGACATCAAAGAAAACGAAGCCGCAATGTCTCAAATTTAGAGTTTTCTTTCATACTAGAAAGTTAAAATGAGTCGGCGATTAAAGTTATTCTAGGAATATTGTTAAAGAATTACATTTTTAAAAATCTAGTTTTTCTAAATTAAATTCCAACAAATTTTCTGGTATGCATTTTAGAGACCTGTGAAATGAGAAGAAAGAGGTAAGGCCGTACAGACAGTCCCTGGAGCAGCAGTGGAAAAGGTAACGGAACTCTCTGAGCCCCTGTCCTACTGGTCTGCACATTGTCACCTTGTCTGCCCAGGGTGCAGTGACATCAGCCACCACCAACAACCACAGTCACTAAGCACTTATTCTTTTTAGTGCTTTACCTGGATCTGATCCTCACCACAACTCTAAAAGGCAGGTTCTAACCCCATTTTCAGCGAGCAAAATGAGGCACACAATAATAAACTATCAAGAGTATAATGTTCATTCTGTGGGTTAATTTCAGCCATTGTGGGCCTCCGGTCTACTCTACCCATCACAGGGGAAAGTCATCTTCCCTCCGTATTCACAAAAATAAGGAAGGGGAGACTGCGGTCTCTTACTAAGTACAATTCTTTCTCCACTGCCTCCTCGAACTGACTAAGTCTGATTATAATTCATGTGGACAGTTTCCAGCCTCCCTGGGACCAGCCTCCCAAGCCAGGATAGCACCTCCGTCCTGCAAAAGGCAGAATAGGGACAGGTTGCTAAAGATGATTCTTTTTTCTCCTGTTTACAGGGCCAAGAGGTCTGTACAGATGGGAACTATTTCCCTATGTAAGTTGCCGCTGGCTTCAGTTCAGCTGAACCCCTGAAGCCATTCACATCTCGAAAAATATGTGAGTCTCTGATGTAAGAGGGGCAGTGGATAGGGTGTAAGTGAAAGAGTGAAAGGGGTTTTCTCCTGAAAGACAAAGTTTTCTCTCTATATGATCATCACACCAAATAAGCACATATTCTGAACATAACACACACACAAACACCCCTTCCTCTCCTCTTGGAGCCTGGACATTTGGAACAAATCTTACTGTTGTTTTGATGGCCATGGTGGCATGCTGTACAACGTGGTCTCCTGGGAAAGGAGTCTATTAATAGAAAACAGCAAACCCAAACTGTGTAAACCCACAGAAGGAGCATTCCAGTCTCCTAGTGACAGTGGAAATTTAAATATTCAGGTCATTAGGTTTTCCATTAACTGGAAATACTAAACATAGAAAGTAGTCAATGCAATGCGTCTCATTCTCAAAAACTCTTTATAAAACTTAACTGTCTCCCAACCTTTGTATGTTTATAAAATAACAACCTATCGTTCAAAATTCTAACTTTCCCTATTTTCTACATACACTCATAATTATACTTCATTATACTTTTGAAAGAAGATTTAAGTTTTACATCCAGTAGGCCATATTCTGGTTTGGGGCTGAAAACATCCCAGCTTTCTGATTTAAGGTGTCAGTGATCAATGTTTCTCTCTGTTCTATATTACGGTAAAACCTCAGTGGTTCAGGTTCCCCTGGGGACGTGGTTGACAGGTAACCTTTTGGTTCTGAGTCTGAATCTTTTGACATTGAACTTTCCAAAGTTCTACTTCCATGCCTTCTTCAACTGAATATGCCTAAGGCAACCATTTCTTGATACTTTAAGGGCCTTCATGTGAACAGCAATTACTGTGCTGAGCCATGTCATTTCGCCCTTGGAGCAGAGTAACTGATGTTCCCAATGAAGGCTCTTAGATTATCAACAAATGGTTTGGCACTTCAGAATCCTTATTTTCTTCTTTTTTACTCACTTCCTGATTCTCAGCTGTCCACTCCAACTAGAAGCTGGCTCCTACCTGCCTGTTCACTGGTACAGTGCCTTCCATATACAAAGTGATCAAAAATGTTTATTAATTACACGAGTGAGTGAATAATTGAGACTGCTGGATGGCTGACTTTAGGGATGTGAAGTAGATCATAATGTCCTTAAATGTGCTGTTGAATAACATGGGAAAGAAAGGAAAGAACTTAAAATGGTTCGATGATCTCACCGGTTAATGAGTTTGGTTGTTGAGTCACTTCCCCAGAGGCCTTTAAAAGTAGGAAAGAGGGCTCCTTCCACATGTGCATTCCTGTGTGAATGCAGCTTTGCTCAAGTTAGAGACGTCAACTAAAACCTTTGGAAGTTCTCTGCAGCCCTTGAACTTGAACCTCTAGCAAGCCTCGTATTTTTCTATTTACATGGCACAAATGGAGAGGATTCGTCAGTCCCATTATCCTCTGTTTCAGGACACTTATGCAGAAATAGTCAAAATGTTTATTTGCCATTTTCATGATATTTTCCAAAACATTGTAAGTATGGCACAAGCAGAGCAACAGTGTGGAGATCTTTCTCAATGGGGGCTCCTCATTAGAACCACAGATCACAGGAGATGCTATGAGGGAAGATCTTCTCAATTCTCTCAAGGGTGGTCCAACACTAGCCCCAGTCTAGACGCCGGGAGAGAAGTTCATTCATTACTGACAAAGGGCATTAGGCAAGAGTCTTTCACAGAACCCCAACGGGGAATGAGCAACCCAGAAAAAGATATTACTTTAAAGATGATATTAGGTATAACAGTAGCCACAGTCAGAATTCAAGTAGCCCAAAGAGTGGAATCACAGGCTTGTAAAATTATAAAATGTTTTTATTTCAATTACATAATAACACTTATGTTTGCCTCAAGTTTTACCGAGGTTTTGGTCTTTTTTGCACTCAATTATATCTTGTAACAGTAATATGAATTCACCTAATCTCATAAAGTGTCAACAGTATTCATACATTCTTTTGTGATTTTAATATTTTACAATTTTTTAATTTAACTTTACAATTATTTTTTAAATGCTTCTTTATATAGAAAATATATATTTCCTTCAGGAAGATCAAAACAAGAACTTTCCAATAAGAACATACAGAGAAACAACCAACAAAAATATTTATACCAAAATACCAAAAGTGATTCAACTATTTAAAATATCCTGTTATAGTCTAATTATCAGTTTGCACAAGAACATGACCTTTTTGAATTGCTCTTTTGAATAATGATTAGACAAATAAAGAAGTAATTTTAAGGTTAAAAAAATGAATTTTAGAAATGATTCTTCCTGCCCAAATATTGCAGTAGGAAATGCAATTTCAACGTACGTCTCTTCCAGAAAAAAAAAAAAATCTTTGTATAAAATGACTTTGGTACATAATCAGCATGAAGTGAAGCCAAAGTCTCCCACAAAAACATTCAGGAATCATCAACAATGAGATTCAAAGTATTGGTTTGAGATAAAATACTTGTATGAGGTAAAGGCACGTAAGAGCTCCCCACTGATTTAAGATGTCAGTAATCCCTAACAAGATTAATTATTGTCCTGAGGTGCAAACCTTCTCTCTCAGTGACCTATGTGCTATTTGGCCCTTTATCTCATTTTAAAATAAAATCCCATACAGGTTATAAAGTACATATCAAAATCAAATAGGAAAATACATATATTTGAATGAGACAAATTAAATTATACTCATCATGTGGAAATCTCAGAATGCTATTTGGTCATTTCAATTAGATGCTGATGTATTTGGTCAATAGCCACATTCATATCAGCTTAAGGCAAATGCTAAATATTTTTATTTGATTTTAAGCAGAAATCTAAACAGTGTACCTTATTGTTTGATACTACTGGAATGCTCTCAATTAGAACTTACATTGATAACAAATGTGTTTTTCTAATCTGGGTGATAACCTTACTGATGAAATATAAATCTACAAGTAACAGTTTATAACTTAAAGTAGTAGATAACTTGGTGGTTGATTGTCATATGGTGCATCTATATCAATCTAGAACATTTTCTGAATCTCATCAGTGGAGATAACAGACAAGAGTCTTTACAGTTGGACTTACTGTGCAGTCTTTGGCCCCTTTCTAAAACTGTACCTTACAAGCGAGCCTCGATTTACGACAACGAGCAGTCTTCTTTGCTTCTGCCCTTTTCATTTCTGCCTGTCTCTTCTCTGCTTTCTGAATTGAAGTCTCCCAACTCTCCCGCTGGTGCCAAGTCATCATTTTCTAGACTACTGCTATCTAAACCCTTCCCGACTGTCTGACTTGGATATTCTGACATCACAAGCCCCTCTGTACTTTCTGTTTGAGAGGCATCATTAACGTCCTTTGAGGGACTTTCATTTTCGAGCAGGGCGCTGCTAGATGCCTCTTCATTCTCTGGTTCTGGAGGATGGCTTTGAGTGGCGCCATCTTCTTTAGCATTTTCTTTTATAACACCTTCATCTAATTCTTTATCACTAGTGTCTGACGATTGAACTGTATTATCTTCAAAGTTTAATGTGTCTCCATCAGCTATTACTTTCCCTGCCTTAGTGTTTACATCATAATCTTCTTGGTTAAGGTTTCCATCCAAATCAATTTTAGGATTTTCTGGACAATCCACATTTTCACTGCTTCCTGCTACAATTTTCTGTTCTGGATTTTTAGTGACCTCATTTTGTGCTTCTACAACTGGTTTTTCATCAGTAAATTTTACCTGCTCTTCTTCCTTAGCTTCACTTAAATCTGGGTTCTGAAATGTTAACTCTTTCTTAATATCTTTAAGGGTTTCTACAGGGGCTGGTGATTTTTTCTTCTTATTTTTCTTTTTCTTGCTCTTTGTCTTCTTCTGTGATGAATCCAATGCCTCTCCCTGTTGGCCATTCTTTTCTTCATCGGGTTCTTTCATATCTAGGGGTTCTCTTTCAGCGTTTACCATACTTGGACCTGTTGCTTCCTGAGCACTGCTTTCGGCTGCTGGAGAACAAGGAATGGTTTGGACTTCCATCTGGATTGGTTTCTCACCCCTTAATTCCCTTCCTTCATCTTCTTCTTCATTGTTCTCCCCACCTACCTCTGCGCTCTGAATTGGGACCTCCTCCAGCTCAGCTACTTCCTGGTTGGTGAGTTCTTTCTCTAAATCATGCCCTGCACTTGGGTCCAACTCTTTGGGGGCATCTACCACACATTTTTCATCATGACTCTCAGTGTCATCACTGTACCTTGGATGACTTGAGGCTACTGTGCCCACTTGCTCCTCAAATCCAGTTAGCCCTGCATCACCCTTTGTGGGGCTCCCACTCTGCTCCCCAGTGTCTGTACTGCTCACTCTTTCAACTTCAGAGATTTGCAAAGGAGCAGATTCCTGACATGGTTTTGTGCTAACCTCTCCCAAGTTGGTTTGAAAATCTTGTTTTTCTTCTTCCTCTTTTTCTGCAGATTCTTTACTTTGATTTTCAATATCCAAGGCATTACAACCGTCCTGCCCAATCACAGGATCTGCGATTTCACTATCTAATTCACTCAAACATTTGGACTGCTCAAGGGTCGCTCCTGTCCTATCCTCTGGCATGTTTAGGACCTCATTCGACTCAACCTGCTCTGTATTTTCAAGGAAGGAAGCATTCTCTAGAATTGGGCTTTGAACCTGTTCCTCGTTTGTAGCATTTGCTAATGTCCCTAGGGAGGGGGCACTGTCTTCAGAGGGTTTCTGGTCCTCGGCATTTTCACCAGGATGTAACACCTCTGTGTCCACACAATCCTTTATTGGGTCCTCTTTGTGCTGTTCTCGCTCAGTATTCTGCAACATTTCTCTTTTCCCCACATTCTCCACCATTTCATTTTTCACCTCCACTTCATTGGCTCTTCCTAAAAGACCATTGAAAAAATTGAAGGGACCCCATGATGTAGTGACCACTTAACATATATTACAATGCAAACACATGTTCTCATTCCCACCTGACCCCATTCCTAAAGAGAGAGACTCACCAAAGAATCACAGGAAACAGAAGCCTTTTTCAGTTCTGTGCGGCAAAGCAGCCACTGCATTAGCAAATGTTTGACCAGCAGAGGCCACCACCACCATCGCAAAGGCAAGAGTGGCTGCTGGTGCCACCTTGTGTGAACTGATTTTCACAGGTGAAGTTAAGTTTTAACAAATAGAAAGAGCTCTAGAACAGGCAGCCAAACAATCTAAAATGATGGGTTTAAGAAGGGCTCAAGGTTCATGTTCCCCATTCTCACTTCCCAATGCACATCTGGACGACTCATACTTTTTCAGCTGTCAAACTGCACTGCATATCACACGGCCCCAAAAGTGGCATTCAAATAATTTTTAAAAGGAACATCCAGTTCATCTTAAGAAACTCAGCCTCAAGGTCATTTCTCAAGGACGATACTTTTGAAATAGCTCATATAAGAAAAAAAGAAATCTGCCCTCGACCAACTAATCCTTGTCTTTGTGAGAAAACAGCCTGTGCCCTAAATACTTTCACTTTATTCCCTAAGGGAAATGTGAGGAGTTCCAGCAGGAGGCACATGCTTAAGATCAAGATGATCATTTAATAATAAATTCTTCATCAATTAAAGAATTATGAATTAAAGAACATGTTACTGCTTTGGAATGAAGTTATATTTTAGATTCTCCAAACAAACAAAACCCCAATATATTAGATACTATGTTACCAAAAGTCAAAGCTTGATAATTTTATAACCCAGTGGTCTCCACAGTAGGGTGCACCTACCCCAGGGAAAATGGGGAAACTAGCAGGACTTGTATTTAAAGTTAGTTTTGCTTCACCCTTTAAAAATTCCTATTAGTGTATATGTTTTATAATGTACATTTTATATTAATGAAATAGTCTATGTATATAAGTTTAAAATAAACATATATATTGGGAAGTTCCCACAATTCTTTAGTGATAGGGATATGTGATCCCAAAATATTAGGAGACCACTTACAAAACTGATTATTTCTGGTTCTTTAAGCATTCATTTCACAACGGTTATTGAAGATTTATAAAATGTATATTTGAACAAGAGCAGCACAATCAAATTCTTAGCTGCTCAGGTAACTAATATAAAGGTATGGTGGAAATTAATCAATTTCTCTTCTTTCAGCAACTTTTACAAAATTAAAAGACCTGTGTTCCGTTAATAGTCATAAAGATAATGAGGTACCTCCCTAGGAAGCAAGTCCTGAGAAGCTGGGGCCGACAGGTTTCTGCATTTCCATAAATAAAAAGAAATAAGATGAAAGCTTCCAAAGGGAAATTAAAGTCGTGGGCCCTGACCGTATCCCAGCCTCACTGCAAAAAGCTGGAACACAGCTGGTAACCAGTGGCAAGCGAGGCCTTATTTGGGGGCTGCAACTTCAGGCTGCACACCAGATTCTGAAGGTTTATCCCAAAGCCAAATATTAACAGTGAATCTTTTCAGAAATTTGCAAATTGTATAAAATATTCCTACAATCTATTGGATTCCCCAATTTATATTCTTTCACAAGCAAAAATGTGACACACAAAGGAACGTCACCTCTGACAAAGGGGCAGGCAGACTCAGACTCTCCTTGGTAAGGCACACCCTCCACACTGACTACATTCACCACCCCGGGCTACCTGCCCACCTCGCTCTCCACCCACGGCTACCTGCCCACCTCGCCCTCCACCC